CAAAGGATGTTACTGTCACAGGAAATAGGTAGCTGTTTAACAAATAGCTGTGAAGTAAATTTTACTCAATTGCAAGTAGGCTTTTAATTAGGATTAAACCCCTGTCATCCATAACCTCTCACAAAACATCTAAATGTAGAATGTGTGAGAGTATGTGTGTGTTTATATGATCTTTATTGCAACGAGTGTGAAGACATCAAAGTTTCTTGGAAGGATACAAAAACAAACAGGCCTTTTAAGTTGCATCATCATTTTGTAGTTGTCATCATGTCCATATTTGGAACTTCGGGCGTCTAAACTGGTTTTCTCTATGGGAAAGAGTAATGACATTTTCTCCATTCACCTCTATTGTAAACTAAAATTCACCTGTGGTTGAAAGCATAATAAACCTTCACAAAATTCATAAAATTCACCCTGTTGTAAACCAAAATGTTCCAAAGCTGATACATTTTGTCCTGTGTACACCTTCCCCTGAATATCACTGGATTCTCTGAATTACACGGTCGAATTACACGGTACTGTGTGTGTGTGTGTGTGTGTGTGTGTGTGTATATATATATATGCACACACACACACAGTAGCTACAGTTTGACATATATATATATATACACACATATACATATATATAAAAGGTATATGACAGTGTTTGAGTTTAATAGTAAACTTGCTTTAGCACGTTTACTATTAAATAGCAATTATAGCAATTCCATATTCTGACTTCGGAATTCAGAGGATTCAGCAACATTTGGAATTTCGAGCGTTTTAGTTTATCACAAGGTGCAGTAGCGGGAATTTTCGAAAACGCCATTTATTTTCCCAGAGAGAACACCTGCTCAGACCCGTAGTTCCTTATTTGAGCATGATGCCATCAACAAAATGAGGTACAATTTCAGAGGTACATGTTGTAATTTTGGGCGTTTGGTTTTAGAGGGTTTTCTCTGTCTCCCTCTTCCTGCCCCCAAAACACTGCTCCTCTTCCCCATGGTGGCCGGCATGCTGCATGGTCTGTTCGCAGTGGTCGCAGAGGCATTCTGGGTAATCTGTCAGCAAACACTGTTTAAAATTCACAGACTGGGTTTTCCAGCAGCTGTGCTTTCTATACATATCTCATAACAGCAGTTATGGGGGTTCACCCATCATGAATTTTTACGGCCGATTCCGATGTCTTTACAGCCAAATTCGCATTTAAACGCAGCTCACGTGTACTTGGCTGGCTCACATTATTTACGTCACAAAGCCGTTAGACAGATAGGAATGAATTGGCGAATTCCCCATCGCGTGTCAGGAACGAACATCATGTGATTTTGACCATGTTCACACATGAACCTTTAGTTATACACACTTGCGCTGCTCTCTGTACTAGATAGGCTTCTTCACTCACTCACAGATACTGCCCATTTCTCATAGAGAGAGAAGCAAGAGCTCACTGGAGCTTTAAATAATGTCATTAGTGTTTCATGCACAGCGCTTGGTTGCTGGGTATCTATCCTGCACACAGAGAGAAAGAGAGAGCAGCCAGAGGAAAGGGGGAAGGAGAGAGAGGGAGAGCTCTGTGCAGCAATATTATGTATCACATGCTTAAAGCTGCACTATGTAAGATTTTTTGTTAAAATTGAAAGAAGTGACGTTACTGATTTAGGAGGAAAAAAAAACAGGCTAATATGTTGTGCATGCGCTGCTGCGAGTAGCCCTGTAAAGCCTGATTTAATAATTTAAAAGTTGTAGGCGTCTGACCTCTTCATTTGTCCTTGCGTATGAACATCACATGCACAGGCTCAAACAGGAGTTCTGGCTCGATGTTTAGGCTTCAAATGCTAAATCATCATTATACTGATGAAGATATGATGACAGTAGTAGATAATTCACCCACATGAAGACGCATCCTTCACCAGGTTTTGACCGAGGTCTCTAAATCTCCAAAATTTACATAGTGTTGCTTTAAAGGCAGCCTGAAATCAGAATGGACCTTTATTTAAACGACAAAATTCTTATTTCTTCGTAATCTTTGACCAAAGCGCAGTGGCTTTTCGCCTGGCTGTGTCACCTTGCAGGGAAAAAATTGTACTTACTTATAATTTCTTAGCATGTTTTCCCTCCTCCTGCCACCCTGACCTATCAGGTAAGAACCCCTGTCAGACAAGAACCGTCAGCAGACAACCTCCTTTCATCGCTTTACTCTCTCTTTCAGTTTTTGAACCGGTTGTAAAACAATCACTTGTGAGTAAATCAGTTTATTTACGCTGGTAGGTTAAATATCTGGCAGTATTTTTGCTGTTTTCTAAAGTTTTCTAAAGAGGCGGGTCAGCTGATGATGAGGGCGACATGTGTAGACACACACATCATATCTCGATCGCACGTTGGGTAATTCCACTCATATACCAGTATTTTAACAGTATGTAAATGAAAATGTAAGAAAGGCAACGCAGCGGAGATGCTTAAGGGCTAGCATGCTAAATGGTGCTTCACCTCATCTACAGTTTTAAAAAGTAAAACAAAATATTAACAAAATAAAACATTAAAATCAGGTTTTCAAACTACAGAACATGCACAATCAGAATATTGTAGTACTTAATTTTTTGACAGTATTTGTTAATTTTTATAATTTGTTTCTTTGGCTTTTCTGCAAAAACAGATGGATTCCTGACCCTCAGAGTCTGAGTCCATGTTCGTTTCGGGGCCCCTGTTTTTCATACTCAAATCTAACCCCGAAGAATAAAATCATGTCTCGCCCACAATTATGTCCTGCCTGACCTGCTTTACACACGCACACATACTTTACGTGTTCATATGGCATGAGCCAGCCTGTAGATGCCATACCTTAGACCATCCCCCCTTGGCCACTTTTCCTTAGCTGGTAAGGTCTGAGGAGCACGCTGACCCAGATCTGTCTGCTGTTACCCAGCATGCCTCGCTGCGTGGCTCCTATAGCGACGCACTAGTGTAGGAGTTTGAGTGACAGTTGCTGGTGCGGCGCCCGGTGTGTCCCAGCAGCGCACACACACACACACACACACTCGCCCACACGCCTTCTCACGGACCTGCGTCACACCAGGGACTGAAGAAAAGACGGCTGACACACGGACAGAAGGACTTTAAACAGCCACCATTTTTCTTTCTAATGAGATTTTTCTTTTTCTTTTTTTCTTTTTTCTATGTTTTGTTTGTTTAATGAATCTTTGCTCATGTTGTGTCAGTGTGGGGGGAGTTCTCTTGTGTCTATATGGGGGTGTCTTTAATGTAATATTGCTGCCTTTCCTTCCTCATCCACTCCCAGTGAAGGCCATGCCTGAAGTGACAGTGTCTGAGGCAGATACCAACCCCTCACATGGTTGGATATAGGAGTCAGCGGTTTGTAGCTGACAGTTAAGATTTGTGGAACTGTCATAAAAAAGGGGGATTTAGGCTGCAAGCCTCACTTGAGAAAGACATTTGATAAATTGATAAAGATGGATTCCTGTCATATTGTGGAAATTTCATGCAGATACCGTTTAAAAGTTTGGAATCACTGTTTGCAATAATATTAAACAAATTTTGCTGCAAATACTTGTATGAACAAATTCTCATATATTATTGTTCAAAATTTCAAACAATTTGTAGACAGCTGTAAAAAATAATGCATTTTTGATGATAAAGCTGCAAATGATTCCATAATAATAGAGAAACCTCCATAGCATCGAGAATTAAGTTATATTAACTTAATATCCAGAGTGACTCGTATTCAAAAAGCTGTGACCAAATCTTTTATGACAGGAAATTACTTGAAATAGATAATTAAGAATATTATTTAATAATATTTTGCAATTTTTTTTACGATTATCACTTCTCTTTGTTCCCAAAATATTTTAAAATGTGAATGTTATCAATGAGTAACGGTAAAATGATGTAATATGACGTTATTCTACACATTTGAAAGGTAATATATCAGACCTTAATCTTATGAAATGTTGCACCTAAAATATTCAAAGCCCATATTTGAGCCCATTAAATCCCAGCTTCTGTGGACCAAAGCTTGAGTTGGTTCAGAACATAGTAATTGAAAATCTTGGCTCCCGTCTGCCAGATATACGAGATCATAAATAAAAAGAAAGAAACTGTGGCATTATCACTTGGAAATCCTTGGAAATGGATGTGGAAGGAAAGATCTCAGGTGCTTCTGGGCCACATGAAGCTCATATTGTCCAAGACTTTCTGTATGCAGAAGCACACTTTAGCAGAATGTTTTACATGTTTAACAGCTTCTAAAGGCCTAAAAAGTAAAGGTTAGTACAAAAAGAATTGCTTTTGAAACACAAGGAGCTTCACATGGTCCAGAGCGCCGGATGGGGCTGCCCTCCCCAGCGCTTTGACTGGACAGAGCTCTTTGGCTGCTGTCTGTCTGACCCACGCGGTTGTGTCAGAATGCGGAGTGTCCTGTCCGAGACTGGATCAAACACCTGGATGCTAAACTCGCTGTTTTTCCTCTTAAGCTCACAGTCTGTTTATTGAGTTACACATCAGGTGCTTCATCCACCTGCTCCACAAGTGCCCTACCTCCATCACGACTGTATGTGGCTGCCACTAGTGGGAGCTCTTTGCTGTGGCATTTGAATACAAAAGAAGAATTTTGATGACATATTTCATAATTCTCATTTTCCTGTTTTGTCCTTGTCTCTGTCTCTGTCTGTCTCTGTCTGTTTGTCTGCCTTTGTATTTCATTTTCACTTTTTCATTTCATTTCAATTGTTCTTTTCCTACCTTTGTTTACTATTTTCTTATTATTATTCTTATTTTTTGGCAATTGTATGACCCTCCTTTGACCCCTCTTTGAAATTCCCTTCACCCCAACAATGTCCATAACATTAATGCTCACATTTCTCATGCTAACCTTTACTGACACCTTTATCATCCACCTCTAACCTCTACAACTGAACCTCTCCCTAAAAACCATGAACCATAAAACCCCCCCCTCCACATGGTTTCTCTGGAATGACACCTGTACTCTCCACCATCTCTTGCCCCAGCCACTGGCTATGAGAAATCCAGGAGCCTGAATAACATATCGGGGATGACTGGGGCTCCCCTGCGATTGACCCCTGTTACCCCCATCAACAGCTCCCCCTACGAACCCTACGAATCTCCTGGCCCTCTCCGCCGTTGTCGTTCCCCCATTCCTTCCATTTTGTAACACAGCGATGGAGAGAGAACAAAGACAAACCATGCCAACTAGAAACATCCCTTGAGAGACTCTCCACAAATGCACCATGAGGCGACATTAATACTAGTGATGATAATAACTACTCACAATGCAGCACAGTTGCAGAAGCTCTGACTGGAATGGTGGAATGGGTTACATTGGGGTAGGATTTGGGGAAGGGTGAGGTTGGTCTGGATTGGATTAGGTAGTTGGGTAGAATTAAGTTAGTTGGATTGGGTTGAATGGGGTTAGATGAGGTTGGGTCAGGTTGAAGTGGGTTGGTAGGGTTGGGTTGATTTAAGTTTTTTTTAGGGTTGCTTTAGGCTGCATCAGATTGGGTTAGTAGGGTTGACTTTGGTTAGGCTAAATTGGGCAAATAGGTCTAGGTTGGATTCATTAAGGTTGAATTGGGTTAGTAGGGTTACATTGGGCTGGATTGGATCAGTAGGGTGGGGAAGGGTTGTATTGGGTCAGTAGGGTTATGTTGGGTTGGATTGGATCAGTAGGGTGGGAAAGGGTTGAATTGGGTCAGTAGGGTTATGTTGGGTTGGATTGGATCAGTAGAGTTGAGAAGGGTTGGATTGTGTTATTGGGGCTTGATTGGGTTGAATTGGGTTAGTTGGGCTGGAGCAGAGGGTTAAATTGGGTTAGTGTGGTTTGGTTGGGTTGAATTGGGTTAGTAGGGTTGGGATGAGTTGAATTGGATTAGTAGGGTTTGGTTGGGTTGAACTGGGTTCGTGGGGTTTGGTTGGGTTGAATTGGGTTATTAAGATTGATTTGAGTTGGGTATTGGTTAAAGAACATGGTGTTCACTGTATCTTGCCTCAAAGTGGTTTTGGGAATGGTGTTCCTGACTTTAAGTGCTAAAGCAGTTTAAACATTCAGAGCTTTCTCTGTAACTGAACTCTCATACACATAAGCTTCAGGCAATATTTCTGACCGGCAACTATAAAGAAGTACATGCTGTTTAAATGCAGCAATATTATGCCTTATTGAAAATATAAAAACCATCGCGATAAAAGCCATCATTGGTCATCGGTCAGTGATGAGCGTTCTCTAGGTTATTTATATGGTAAGAGCATTTAACCACTTAGTGAGCTGACAGTAGAGGGCTTCCAATGCCTGTTTGCCGGTATTGTAGAGAATATAGACCATGATGCAGTAGACTTACTCACCGAGGAACAGAAACTGAGAGCCCTTCTGATGCACCACTATAGGCCTTGAAGCGAGTTCGCCTGATAGCAAAGCTTGGAATGATGCAGTCACAGGCCTTAGAAAACATTCAGTAGTTGTAGTGCATGCGAGAATACACTGCAAAGAAAAAGCAAGTAGTGCATAACTAAAGAAACAACTAAAGGAAATTCCCCTTTAACCACTAGAAGGACATGTTCGTCTACCCATCTAAATAAACGTCTAGGACATATAGTGTAGCTTGTTAGTGTGCTGGTAAATTCACTGGTAAAAATTTTTTTCAAGGACACTTACATACTTACTTGCCCATTGTATGTCATTGACATATTGAGTCAGTCAGGACTCCAATATCAACCTAATATTTATTTTCAAAACCTTTTTTTTTGTTACAGTGGATACTGTTATCATGATTAGTATTATCAGTTTGAGGACTGGAAAAAAAGTCGTTTTTTGTGCAATACAGACTCTTATGACCGCATCGGAGAAGCTAGCACTGGCCGCTTAAAATACCTTGAAGATAAATAGTCCATCCTATGTAAACTACTAAAAAAGAAGCGAAACATGGACATTATATTAAGACTATTTTTATATTAGGCAACAGGGACTGTAGATAGGGGTACACGGGTGGGTTTTGGGTTGAAATCTATGTGTTTCTGAGAGGACCTTATTGGATATCAGGTAGATACATGTAAATCTGCTATTTAGCTCTTTTGTTTCAAGACTGCGTTGAGACTTGGATCGGCCCTCCTCCACAAGAACCACAAAAACGTGACGGCAGTGATGTGAACAGAGAGCCAGAAAAAGGAGGAGCCATCAGCTTATCAAGGGCCTATGACCTTCTGCACTGCTTCAGGATCCCTCCCCTCTTTTATAGACTAGTGCATGAAGGAAATGTCTTACTCTACAATCTTCTTGCGTCACACGCTCATAAATATGACATATCAAGACTGGAGATGAGCTGTTGTACCCCTCCCTCCTTCGCCACCCTGGCATTGTGCTAAACTGGACAGTGGCCTCTAGGGTTGCCCATCAAGCTGGACCTTTCATCCTCCTCTTCATTCTCCTCCTCTTTATCATTATCATTATCATTGTTCATCTCCTCATTAAGGCCATCCATCCCTTGGATACTGTGATTCTAATCATTTGAATGCAGTAAATTTTGAGTTCACTTTTTAGTTTCCTCCTTGATTCTTCTCTTTATTTCTTTCCTTCACTGTTCTTTCTTCCCTTTTTCTTTTCTTTTGACCTGCTCTGTCTCTTGGATGCTGATCTTCCTGTTCCAATAAAAAAAGGAGGGAACGTTGAATGGATGCTGGACTGACAGCGGTCAGTAGGAGAAGGAAAAAAAGAGAGGATCGCTAAATGCAAATCTGCCGAAAATGCAATTTTACAGAAAGAGAAAAAGTGAAAGAAAAGAAGGGAAAGCGAGAGAGAGAGGGAGAGAGAGAGAGATGTATTTTGATCACATTGATCTGTTGCACATCTGTGACTGTGGTGCTCAGATCTAAGACTGTGTCCACACTCTTTAGTGAAACCTTCACTGTAACGGCAGCTTACGAAGCTTTTTTTTCCTTTTTGTTTTGTTTATCCATTGAAAAGAATGTGAAGATAACAAGAAATGACAATACTGAAACTGTATTGAACAATGTAGACGCCGGTAGCATTACTCACTTTGTGATTGTAAAGACATTTTTTTGGTCATCATGCAACCGAAACCTTTTATATGCTCTAGTTAATCATTGATACCATTTCTGGTCACCTTATCCACTGTTACATATGTGAACTGAGCTGTACGAAGCCATTCTGTTGGATTATTTTTGTATTTATGAATATTTTAGCCATTACGCTGATAGATTATGTATAGAGAAGGTTTTATGTTGTTTTCCGTTCACCGTTGTCACATGTATTTCCCAACCTTTTACTTTCCCCTCTCATAAATGAAGAAACAGAGAGCAGAATGAGGGTGAAAAAGTTGTTTTGTTGTGCTTCCAGCACAAACATGCAGAATATAAGTACTACTTCAGGAATGAATAACAGAGTATATACGTGAACTATAATGTCACAGGAGGCAAAGGCCCACTGCACTGAACATTGACTCAGGCCATAGATCCACATTTGCAATGCCCTAATGTAGCTGTATGTGATGCCGTTGGACCACAGACTTATTACAGTGAAGGACTCAGACCATTGTGATCACCAGAATAAGACAACTGAGCAATAAGAACCAAATCACAGCAATCCTGGCCCTTACTGAATCAATTAAACAGTTGTGTCCAGCTGATTGAGAATCAATTCAGGTCAAACTTTGTTTAATTGTCATCTGTGCATTTGTAGTTTCTTTTTTAATGGAAGTACTTTTAGAAGGATGTGCGCATTCTTGTAAATTAAAGGGGTATTCCACATTTTTCAAAATTTCTATTCGATTAACTCATTGAGATGTAGACAGTCATTCAGAGCTTTTCCAAAAGCACCTTAGCATCACAGATGATTCTTAAACAGTAGAGCAAACATCACACTGAACAGTTTAGATGATCTTAACACTAAGATGCTTTTGGGAAACTGGGTCCAGAGCAGTTTGGTGTGAAAAGTTTCATTGCAGAGACGCTTATTGACTTGGATCTCTTTACAGTGGTGGTGATAGGAACCAGGGGGTCACAATGTCTACAACACCAAATATAGCCATTTTATTTACAATCCAAAACCATCAGTGAACCTAGACGTGTCTTCTGAGTTTTATATGTAATGTTGATGATAAAATAGTGGTCAATCTGAAAAAATAAGTTTTCTTTGGGGACTATTTACCTTACAACGATCTACATGTACCTCTCCACTTTGAACGGATTAAAAAATATGTTTTAGGCCAAAACCTAACCTAACTAAAACCATGTTTCAGATATCAGGCAGTGTATTCAGGGCAAGTTTAGCTGTCTGTGAGTGAGCTCTTAGTCATTAAACTCCTCAGACGTCTGGTTCCCTATCACCACCACTGTGAATTTTCTCAAGAGCATTTCAGATCACACCACTCTGAATGACTTTGTTTACACGCCAACCATTTCATCATGCAGACATTTTGAAAAATCAGTGGAGTTCCCGCTTAAGAGTAGTTCTGAATGTTTAGGGAAGAAAGAAAGAGTAAAGATGAAAGAAGGAAACGCATAGTAGTGTAGCTAATCACATCCCTGCCCTTAAGGTTGAGCTCACTCCCCATATCAGACCTCTCTGTTTCTCATCCACTTCATCCTCCTGTTCCCGTCCCCTTCATTGCTTTGTGCGTTCTGCGTAAGAGGATGATAACTCAGGCCTACGTCAGGTCTCAATGATGTGTACAGTTTTAAAGAATGACTTTGTACTTCATGAATGCATGTTTTTCCCTTTGCGAGCAATAAGGAAAATGTCTATACGATCCTTAAGAAGTATGTTTTGATAAGCAAACTGATTTTATCTAAAGCTTTATGTATGTGTATATTCATATGGGTGTGTACATATGGATGTATGAATATTCATATGCACATACATATTACTGATTTGCATGTATGAGGTTTTTTGAAAACAAACATACAAAAAACAAGATTGGTGTTTTGTTACCAATCTGACTCAACTGCTGAAGGGGTGGGGCTTAGTTCTGCATGCTAAGATGCTATTGGGTGGCAGAGACCATTGTAACTGTAAAACGGGGGGGGTGTTTTTATTGAAAAAAGGTTTTATTGGGGTATGATTGAATTCTGTAAACATTTACAGCTGTTTTATTTTCCTTTTTTTCCTCTGTTTGTACGCAGTGGTCTTGTAATCATTTCATGATTTATTCCTTTTTTTTCATCTTTTCACAGAGAACTATTCTGAAAGCCCAGTGCTTATCAGATATATGCAAAAAGAAGCTGTAACTGTGAACTAATCTAGAACAGAAAACTCCACTCGTCCTCCTTTCACGTATGCTTTCCCAAACCAACACCCGACCCCCAATTGCTGTAACAGTGGTTGCTTCCTCACCAACTTCTCCACCCTTCTATCCAGTCTCACTGTTCGTCATTGTTTCCTGTCATCCCACCACCTGTATCATCCCACCCACTTCTGTTCTTTCTGCAGTACGTGGAAGAGATGAATTTATCACGTGTGCGTACCTGTTTCATCTTTTATCCATGTTAGTGGGGGGGGCGGTTCCTCCTCTTTGGATACTAGTAGCATTTAACGAGGGGTAAATCGATGTAGCAGATGCTATTTTAGATTAGCAGATAAATGGTCACTTTAGTGGAATAAGATGAAGTTGCCTGTCTTGAATGTTTACCTGTCCTGAGGTCACTTAGACTGTCTTAAGGATCATTTAAGCACTCAGTTGGAGATTGGAGTCTCTGATCTTTACCACCAGAGACGTCTAACAGTCTATCGCGTGTTCTCCAAAACCCAGAGGACGCTATCGTAGCCGCCGCTAGAAGTTAAATCGGTTCTGAGGGGGAGAGTAAATGATAACGATGATGCTACTACTGCCTTCAGCAGCGCATGTTGCCTCGCATACTACCGGAATGCTTAGTGCTGCATCCTTGTGCATCTTGTGATTTTTTTCTATATGCATATAGTAGCTATATTTCCCAGGGGTAGAGCTAGGCCGAGCAGAGCAGGAGGAAACAACTCTTCATCCCGTCACAGGAAAGAGGAGGGCTGCGGCTGTGGGTTTAGTTTATGTAGCTGCTAGTAGTGAATGATGTGCCTAACTGGTCGCTACACAGAGCCCATATCAGGGCAGGTGAAATCATTAATGTAGTCAGTATATCTAATATTTCTTATTATGGGATTGTTGTGAGAATATTGTAAGATTCTTCTGTCTATTTATGAATTTCTACGTCATAAGTGATGTAATTCAGTGAGTGTTTTTCTGAAAACAGGCCAAGTTATATGCATTATTTCCAGAAAAAAAGCAAACTTATCTGCATTAATTCTTGAAACAAGTGAACCTATTTGTATTGATTCTTGAAACAAGCAAAATGATCTGTATTTGTTCTTGAATTAAGCAAAATTATCTGCATTCATTGTTCAAATAAGCAAAAATATCTGTATTCATTCTTGAAACAAGCTAAATTATCTGCATTCATTCTTAAAATAAGCAGCATTTCTGCATTTATTCTTGAAATAAGCAAAATATCTGTATTTGTCCTTGAAATATGCAATATTAGCTGCATTAATTCTTGAAATAGGCTAAATTACCTGCATTATTTCTTGAAAGCAGCTAAACTATCTCCCGATGGTGTAATTCCACAAGGCAGCATTACTTAAAACAAGCAAAAAGCATTGTGTAGTCTTCTGATTTGCTCACAATGAGAAATATTAGGAATATTGACTAAATTCAGGATGATTTCACTCAAAAAAAGATTTTTGCAGTGCAGAACTTCTTTAGTTTATGGAGGAACACCTAACAAATAAAACAGGGAGCATAGTCCGGTTTGAACTCCATTACCCATACTCCTCTCTGTCTCTTGTCAACCTATATTCCTCCCCTGTCACAACTCAGGTATATCTCTCTCTCTCTCTCCGTGGGTCTTCCAAAAAGATGTCATTCAGATTAAGAGAGAGTGAGAGAAAGGGAGGAAACGATGAATGAAAAGATGGATTTTCTGTCTCAGCATGTGCACTTGGAAATATGAATGTGATCTTTTGTGTCCTCATCATCAAAACAGATCTTCCTTTTGCCCATGGTGTCCTTGTGCTGTTTATTTTCACGTCCTCTGTGACCATTCTATCTTCATTTCCTCACAGTCAGATCTACAGTCATTTTATTTTATTTTTGTGTTATTGATTTTATTAATTTATTTTATTTATTAAATCTCTATACAACTGCTTCCAAATGTCCTGGATAAGAATATAAAAAAAAGAAAAATTTGTCAAAACTTGGAACTATGATGTGGATTACGAGCATCACACATGCACGCGGAAACAGGACTCGAGATGAAAGAGTGAAAGACAGACGGACAGATTGTATGTGTGGGGAAAACGAGTGTGTGTTGAAAGAGGATTGTCGACAGAGAGGAAGAAAGACCCTCTCCTCCCCCTTCGAGAAATGGAGGACAGTTTGGGGAAGAAAGAAACGAAAGGAAAGAAAAAGAGAGGAGGAAGGAAGGAAGGAAGGAAGCTGCTCGCTTCTCAGTGTAAGGATGTATGTTTGGTGTTCGGTGTGCGTGTTCCCTGCTCTGTGTCTCCATGTACTGTGCTCAACCGTGTGCTTCCGTGTTTTGTGTGAACCTTTTGGGTTTCGTTCTTTCGTTTTAACTGTGTGTCGATTTATTTATTTATTTATTTGTTTTCCCTGCTGTACTCACATTCCTCGCTGTGTGTCATTCTTTTTCCACTCGCTGTGTCTCAAACACTGCACTGGTTTCTCTATTCCCTATGCTGTGGGCAGCAAGAAGCTCAGCATTCAGTCAAAAGCCAAAAACCAAGGGCACTTCATAGGGAATAGGGAGTCATTTTGGGACGCACCCTTTTCGTTGTCAGCGTCAAGGGGCTTCACCGAGCCGTTTGCTTCCTACTGGTCAGTCCTAGAGGCCCCTAGTCCTGCAAGATGGCAATCATTTGGCCAATCTGTGACTTTTTTGGATTAAAAAATGATGTTAACCCCCCCCTGTCGAGCAGATCTTGTGGCCTTCAAAGACTGGGACTCTCATTAGAGAGTGTGTGTGTGCTACACAGACGTGTGTGAGACTTTTTGAGTTCACCGCATGTGTGTTTCTGTGTGTGTGCTAAACAGGCTTCTGTGAGTGTTTATAACATTTACAGTACAAGCTTTTTCTTTTTTTTTCCTTCGCTTTTTTGTGCGCATGTTAAAGGAATGGTTCGGTGAAAATTTCAGTAATTTAATCTAAAGCCAGATGAAGTCGATCAGCCAAGGCATGTTTGCTATCCAGATTTTGCTTCTTTAGTTTAGAATTCGAGTTACGAGGCTAATATTGCTAACAAAGACTAGAAGCTAATAGTCACCCAAATCTTTTCCATAAATAAATCCCCACAAGTTCTCTCGTGCATGCATGTCATGAGATTACATTTATGACTTTTTGTTGTTTCTATTTATAAACACATCTACAGTTCCAATATTCAAGAGTAGCTTCATAATATTTATAAACATATCGCTGCTGTCGGAACAAAACCTCGTATCTCCATTTTTGACGTTTTTCAGTTTTTGACATAATTTGAAAATACCTGTTCCTCTTTACATTGTATATGAATTTCATGATGAATGGACTAAAAGAAACAACCCAAAATGACTTGGAAAAAAGTCTGGTTCCATTGACTTACATTAAAAGTAAAGTAGGTTTTTTCCTTCTCCTGTAAAGTTACCATTCAGGAGATATGAGGTTTTGTTCTGACAACAGCGATATCTAAGAGTAAAAAAAAAAGCAGAAATTGCGAACATCATCTGTAATTCAGCACACCACTTGTCTCAATTGTGTATGTTCGGCTACACAACGATTTTGTTCCTGTTTATAGCTCACAGTAAGTCATACTGTGTCCTAAACCACATCAGCAAGTCTGCTTGACCTTGAAGACCAGGATGCAGTTTAAGAGGTTGAGAAGTTCTGGGGATGTTTTTACAGAAAAGATTTGGGGGACTATTTACTTCTGGTTTCACCACCTATTAGCAGCGTAGCTCCAGCGTTAAATTAAAGAAGCAAAATTTTGACACCGGCTGAATGACTACATCTGGGGTACAAGTGGAAATTTATGTGCATTAGTTTTCGCCTAACCATTCTTTTAAGGTGGGCTCTCTCATGAATAGTTTTGGTTTGTTTTACGTTGTATCACCTGGTTTTGGACGTTGTCACTTACAGAAATCAGCTATGTCCATGTGAAGAGTGAACATGCGCTCATATGCTCATAGGAAAGTGTACTTGGCTTACCACCACTTTGGCTTTTACAGTTAAATGGCTTCAGTAATGTGGGGTTTCCTTTTTTTCTTTCCTTTCTCTGACTTCTGTTTCCTCCATTTTCCTACTCCCTCTTTCTTTGTCTGTCTCCTACAGTGCTGAGTTTCTGAACTGACCTCTTTCTCCCTAAAGAAGACCCCCCATGTCCCCACTCACACAGCACTGCAACTCCAGAGGCCACTTCCAGAGTCACCAAGAAACCAAGAGAACCCACAGGGAAAAAGGAGAGAGAGAGAAAGAAGAAGTGAGAAAAGAGACAAGTGTGGTGCTCGTAAAACTTCATGAAAAATACAAGATTGCTCATCTCTCCACTCATAAATGCTACCTCGGACTGGATCGACCCAAGCACAGCCGCGTTAATGCCCGGAGGATGTGGGACTTTACACAGTCTTCCAAACTGGATCGTCGTTTCAGTCCAGCTGTGCTTATCTGCATGAATATCAATACAACTCCACGTTACGTTTCCGTGAACCTGCCCAGGCTTTGTGACTGAGATTTAACTGGGCAGAAGATGATTTTAAATGGACCACTCTAGGAGACGTTCGGTTTTTTAAGTTGACTCATTGGCTCCCTTCGCATCTAAGCTTACCATGCAAGCTAAGGCCAGTACAGCTGCAAAAATTTTCTGGACAAAGAATTGCGTGGAAAGATTCCCATACTTGCTATTTAGAAAGCCAAACCGGCAGGCCATAGTTAAGTGGCTGGCATGATGATGGTCCACCTGGATGGACCACCAACCCTCCTCTTTCATCTCAAACATCCTGGATTCCACTTGCACTGCACACAAGGACAGATAAACTTCCATCAAAAAAAAACCCTGTCTGAGGGGTGAGCTCAGTACGTCTCCAGACCCTCAGACGTGTGACTTCGAGCGCTACACAGGGAAGAACCTCAGCCTCTCTTCCGGTCTTTCTTTTCATTCTTTCTCTTCCTCTCTTCCCACACCAATGCCCCTGCACATCTCAGCGTTTCTCCTCCTCTGTAGATGAACTGCATGGCATGAAAGAAATACAACATAAAAAAAATAAAATCAGAGAGAAGAAAGTAGAGAACACAAAAGTTAGGATGGAGAAACTTGAGATGTTTCTGAAGGGCCGCTTCTGTTGTACAGAAGGGGGAACGCTGGGCAAAACAGCGGCCTGTTGGGGTAGACGAGACAAGCTTTCTGCATCAGGGCAACAAATATGGAACCTACAGAAGGACGGAGGGGGTTTTCAAGAAGGCAGGGTGAACTTTGAACTAAACACTTTAAAGAGAATGAAAATTTAAAATGCATTTTTCTGACTTTGTTTACCAGCATGACTAAACTGCATGACTCAACTTCTGCAAGCCCCAAACCCCCCAAAAAAGAGGGCTTGGAATTACTAAAGAGCAAAATCATGGGGAAACAATACAGATTTATGTTATATGCAAGTAAATTTAGGGAAAAATTGTATTTAAAAAAAAAGATGTTCTATATTTTGTTTTTTGTTTTTTTTTAATACAAAAAAAGAATAATGAAAAAATATATATATATATGATTGCAGATACAGTCAGAACTATGCTTTATTAGATGTAAGATACCCCCAACGAAATCTTAGATGATCAGCGAGATTAATCTCCATTTCAACTCCAGTTGTTTCTTCTCTATAACTCCTGCCTGCTCCAGCTCTCCTGACTCTTCGTTCTCCTGCTGACGCCTGCAGTCCGCTCTGGACGTTACATCCTCCTGTGGCCAGTCTGTGTCTTTGCTGATGTCAGCAATCGCAGCACAACTGCTCTGGAGGCCTAATGCTCATGGGTGTGGTGCATGAGGGTCTTGGGTGGCTGCTTCATCCTGGAGATCTGAGATCTTCAAGACAATGTATAGTACTTTCTTGTTTTGGACTGTATATCATTGTGTTCTATCTTTATGTGGCGAGGCCACGGGGGAAATTGACTTTTGAATGTTTTGTTTGTCCATGAGTCACAGTTTCTTTTTTCTTTTTTCATTCAGCTATTGGGAGTACAAATGGTGAAGCAGACACCCAGGAGTTCTCAGGAGAGCACATGGATAGCAGCAGTATAATAATGCAGTAACATAGATGGTAGCAGCTGCTGGCGCGTAAGAGCAATGCTATTTTAATATCACTAACCCAAACCCAGTTTTAAGTCATGTTGATCATAATCGCTTAAGCTTTTTGAACGCATAGATCAGGCTTTTGGCAGGCCCATAAATAGAGGTTATATATGATCGTCTGAACCAAATGTAGTTGGAAGTTAGCATTGCTGTTTTCATTTGTCTCATCCCTAGTTTGATAAGGTAAATTACCAACATATCAGTGCACTCAGAGCGGTCCACACGCAAGAACGGCCACTAAATTCTCAAACGCACCATGGTGGATTGAGCCGAAACAAAAAACAAAGGTGCTTTTCAAGTCTTCCTTAGCAGCTCCTTGGTTTGAGGCCAAGATCCTCCCAGAGGGAGATGGATCACATGTAATGGATACTGCTTATTCAATATATGTGGCTCAATAGGTCAAAGAATGAAAGTCACTGGAGTCTCACTCCAGCTTTTATTGTTGTACCGCAGGAACACAACCATGTATGTCTAAATCGGTGTTTTGAGGTTTGACTTCAAGAACCGATGCATGCTTTTCATCTCTATGCGTCAACAGGACTAGGCCTGGATGGGAACTTGAGTAACTACTGAACCTATGCAAGACTGTTGCAAGACATGTCACTCACACAGGCAGCATACTCAGGCCAGTTAGCTCATGGTTGTGCGTTCGAGTGGTCCGACTAAGGGGCAGATAAAGTTCAGAACACAGGCCACTACATCCCTGTGGTTTGGATAGGCAAGAAGAACCTCTAGGTCAAGCCAAAAAGGGCTACACAAACCAGAGAGGCCGTTGCTGCACCTTAAACAAAGCAGTAGGTCAGCAGAGCCTGGAACGCTGGGGGCAGCTGAGCAGGAGTCCACCGTATAGCTATTTTCTCTCATCCTCTGTTCTTCAGGCCTTCCATAGGCCTCCCACTTACTATCTCCCTCTGCTCCTTGCAGGAAGGTGGCAGAGGAACCAGAGAGGATGATCAAAACTCATGCTTTTAAAACATTGATGTTCCTAGCTAAAAGGTCATCAGATATTTTCTGGAACTGACCCGAGAACCAAGAAGCGAGGCAGGGATCGCTTCTTATAGAGCGATTCTCTGCCTGCCGTTGTGGCGAGCGCTTCTTAGGAAGGTCATCCTGTGGACAAAAGACCAATTTTTGTTGACGCCATTCAGTCGGAGCAATAATTAGGTGCGATCCCACCCTGCTCTCATTTTCCATCTCATTCACAATAAGTGGGAATATCCAGCGTGCCTGAGAGATTGTATCTACGAATATTTCTTTGCGGCATTGAGCCATGTCGACGAGTCAAGCTTTGAGTGAGTGCACGTGTTCGTTCTCGTACGTGTGTGGCGGTCAGACCGAGCTGTCTGGTTCTTCTACAGATCGTGTTTCATGTTTCGGAGGTGCAGAGTGAGACCACACCACCCCCTAAGATGACTGACAGCTCAACACTCGCATAACTTTTACTTGAAACCCAAATATCAGAACATATCAGAGAGGATTAGAACAAAGCCAGAATCAGTCTTCACTCTTTCTCTCTTACCTGTATGCATTTCTCCTCACCCCTCTCTCTGTCTCTCTCTCTCTCTGTCCCTCTGCTCCTTGTCCTTCTCTATTTTTGAGAAAGAAGCTCTTTTGCATCCCTTGTTCTTGTGTTTTTCTATCATATTGTTTGAAGTTGAATTATACTGCATGCATGGGATTAAAAAAGAAGACTTTAACTTATTTGTGAATGGTCAGAATGAGGTAACCATCTTTTTCTCCTGGACCCTCTGTCTGTCGCTCACTTAGATATATACACACACACACACACACACAAATATGAGACATTGCACTTTAAGGTTGGCATCGCTCTGCAATTTTTGATTCTTTTGTGATTCTGAAGTTGTTAAAGTTTAATTTTTCGCTCATTTATACTGGGATGCGCTTCCATTGCTCTATACCTAAAATATCTATGCCATTGCAGTTGGTAACTCCATTTTTAGCGGCCCGGCCTGATCATCTGACCCTTACACCGACTGACCGTCTAATAAAACAAAATAAGACAAAGAGAGAACAGAGAAAACAAGATGGTTACTAAAACAATGGATGGTTTATGCTATTAAGACCGATGCTGGACACAGTTTTAATGTCAATACAAAAAGAAAAAAAAAACAACAGAACTGTATAAAATATATTTCAATGGAATGTTTATTATTTACCTTTTATATTTTTGAAACATGTAAAGAGAAAAAAAATAAAACTGTAATAATTTAACAGTTTGAGGAAAAACTGAGACTTAAAACATTATACTACTAAAGGTATGAATGTTTGAAGGTGAATGCTAACCTACCTGATAAAGTCTTCTTCATTACCAATAGGAAAAAAATCAACATGAAATGGTCAAAAATAAACGGGGAAAAAAATGAAAGTCCGATTTAAAAAGAAAAGCCTATAAAAAAATCTATAAAAATAATAAAAGCTCATGCCAAAATTTTCAATATGTGTCCTGTTTTTTTTTCTTTTTCTCTTCAGTGAGGATTTAAAACTTTGATTGCACATCACTTACATTGCAAGTGCAATAAACTAGACATGTGTTACGTGCAGTGCGTTATGTGTTTGAGAAATGCTGTGTCTGTGAAGATTACATGGGACATTTTATGAAGTGTTGCCCTAAAACTAGTCTCAACGCTCTGTCCACATGGAAAATGAACATCTGTGAACTCTGTGATACAAAGCTGACCACAACTATTGGGATTCTCTCAGTTGCATCCTGATCGGCTATCTGCTGCCTGTCTATACACACTTCTGTGCACTGTTTTCTATCATTCGGCTGGGAAACAAAGTTTTATTTTTCCAGCTAAATTGGATGTGATTGGCCGTTTGGCATGTCAGTCACACGGCCTCTTCCTGAAGTGTCATCTTTCACTTGAATACTTGCTTTTCAATATTATTACAGGTATACAGCATTAAGCATATATTATGTTTTATTTTGTTTTTATTAAATATTACAGTGGCTGCAAACATGAAAAGTATAATTACTATAGTAACACAGTACTTTTACTCTTTTGATACTTTAGTATCTTTAAAAACAAGTGTTTTTGTACTTTATCTCAAGTAGAAACATGAAGTCAGAGACCATGACCACCCTTCAATTATTTAATTTCCAAACAAAAAACAGCCATTCAGTATAAACTATTAGTTTTTTGCCATCACATAAAAATGCAGGAAACTGAAAATTACCCAGAAACAACTAAGTATAATATTGAATATTCTTTCAGTATTTACTGTGTCCACCCTTTGCATGTATTACAGCTTCTTTTCAAGAGACTTGCTTTCAGTTTTTCAAAGAAATCTGCATGAATATCTTTGAATCCTCCACAGTTCGGAAGTAGGTTACATTTTCTGCTCCTTACGATCCACATAATCCCAAACACTTTCAGTGGTGTTGAGGTCTGGACTCTGGGGTGGTCAGTCCATTGTTCAGCTTCTTTGTTTGATGTGTCCGTCTCCTTTTCTCACTGAGGTTCTTCTTGATCAGCTACAAATCCTTTCAGACCCATAGCGCTGAGTCGTCTTCTCACAGTGGAAAGATGGACAGAAACACCTGTGGATGTTTTCAGATCTGAAGCAGCTTGATTTTCTCCTCTCTCTCAGAGATGAAAGCTTTAAGTGCTGTTTATCTGATGGGGACAGTTTTGGTGTCTACCAGGTCTTCCAGGTGGTTGTTAGGAGGCCCATTTTCTGTGAATCTTTTCAGCATTTTTTTAAACTCGTTTTGGAGACTCTTATTTTTTCACTTATTTTACTTTGACTTTCTCCTTTATCTATGTAAGGGAATTATGTTATATCTAATCTATCTCCTGTACTTAATGGCTGTTCTGATTAAAGATATTAAAGGTGGACTCTTGGCTTTAGCACAGTACTGTTGTTTCTTCGCTCATTGTCCATTTTATCAGCTCCACTTACTATATAGGTGCACTTTGTAGTTCTACAATTACAGACGGTAGTCCATCTGTTTCTCTGCATACTTTGTTAGCCCCCTTTTACCCTGTTCTTCAGTAGTCAGGACCCCCATGGACCCTCACAGAGCAGGTACTATTTGGGTGGTGGATCATTCTCAGCTGTTGTTAGTGTGTGTTGTGCTGGTCTGAGTGGATCAGACACAGCAGTGCTGCTGGAGCTTTTAAACAACTCAGTGTCACTGCTGGACTGAGAATAGTCCACCAACCAAAAATATCCAGCCAGCAGCATCCTGTGACCACTGATGAAGGACTAGAGGATGACCAACACAAATTGTGCAGCAGCAGATGAGCTATCGTCTCTGACTTTATATCTACAATGTGGACTGACAAGGTAGGAGTGTCCAATAGAGTGGACAGTGAGTGGACACAGTGTTTAAAAACTCCAGCAGCACTGCTGTGTCTGATCCATTCAGATATAGTAAGTGGAGCTGATAAAATGGACAATGAGCGTAGAAGCAAGGAGGTGGTCATAATGTTACGCCTCACTCAGGTGCAGGATGTCTGTCCTTTGTTCACCTCTGCACTCTGTACAGTGGAAAGGCCTGCTTACTTTATAGGACTGTTCAGTACACAGTTAAGTCACTATGGATAAACAGAACTCCTGATAGAAGTGTAAAATTTAGTGTGTCCAACATTTTAAAAATAAGAGTTTGTGACACAATGTGTCTGAAGGCTAAATCATTCCCACGTTTTATCCTCCAAGTAAGCACTCAGTCCTTCCCAAAACGTTGGTGACTGTTGAAGGCAGTTTGTTTTACTATCAGTTTGTCCTCCTATCACTACAGTGATCTCCAACTTGTTTACCACGCAAGCAAGACAAATAATTTTATTACAGCCATTTAAATAGAAAATATTCATCATCTTTTATTGCAAAGTAAAATGTTGTGCAAAGCCTAACAAAATACAAAAAGTTCTTTGAGTAATATAAAGTACAGAACTCAGGAGTGGTGCAGCTAAACAAGATCTTCTAAGCATACATACATAAGTAACAAGCATAAGCAACTTTATTAACTGTGCATCAAAGTATACATATAAAAGTACAATGCTTATAATAAAGTTATTTTTATTTAAAGCTACTTCACCACCTTAAACCACTCACAGTAAACCACCAGTCAAAGTTTGGAATCACTGTTTTGTGCGTTTGGATGATTAGTAGGACTTTAGAAAGCTGTAAATAAAAATGTAAAAAAATGTTCGATGTGTCCAGAATGATGAAGAGAGCTATAGATGATGCTAAATCACTGAGAGAGCTGTAGAACACTGAGACTTACGCTGAATACTGAATACAAGTTATTAATTTTTGCCATCAGATCAGAACGCAGGAAACTGAAAATTACATAAACAACTAAATATCCATAACAATAAATTATCCACAATTAATAAGAGAAACAAGAATGTGGATCAAATCTCAAGGCTATTAATGTAAACAGAAAATTCCATTATATTATTATCATTTGGGGAATGGTTTGTAATATTTAAACCCACATTCTCTAAGTTATTAATGTATATAAATTAACAAAAATTGTTAATATATCAAGTGATTCCAAACCAAATGCGCCAAGTTACTAAACTGCACTTTAGGTTGTGAAAATAGCAATTATACCAGGAAAACATGCATTAGCTATTTTAAAGTGGAATAATATGATCAATAAAAACGACAACGATTTCTTTCACATATAGCTTTCATCCATATTCAAATGACAGTACTCTGTTTATGAATGAGGTAGAAGTTGCACCTGCTTATTGCCTGAAAGCTAACAAAAAGACACTGGTGTTGTGGTCTGTGACAAGTGCAGAAGGAAATATTACAGTACTCTAACATCACGGTATCAGTCACTTTCAAAAAAAGACAATTCTAGTTAATAAATTGCACTCACAATTCTCTTACTCTAATTCATTACTGATATAAATTCATAGTTAAAATATATTCTTAATCAGACAATGAAACTGTATTCTACAGGAACAAATACAAAATGCAAAATCTGAATAGCCCCAGTCAAATAAGCTGTTTTGTAGATATTGTAGGTGAAAATAAGATGACTCTTCCTCTACGGTGCACAAGCAAATATGAATTTTTTTTGCAAAATTTCTATTTATTTGCTAAGTTTAACATATTCGAAAAATAAACACAACATATTGAATGTGTCATAACTTTTGTATGTGCTATTTTTTTTAACCAATAACTTTGCAGTAAAATGTGCAGGAAATGTGTTCTTTGTAGAGGAAGTCTTTTTACATAAAAATGTATTTTGACCAGTGCTCAACACACACATACATACTGCATACAATTATATGCCCTTTTGTAATCTCATCATTTTATAATTCATTTTTATCAACTCTAAGTAAGTGTTTTATTGCACACTGCGTTGTATTTCATCAAACCAGTAATTCTGAGAGTCTTGGTCATACAACCCCATTTCCAAAAAAGTTGGGATGCTGTGCAAAATGTACATAAAAACAAAATACAATTATGTGCAAATCATTTTGAATTTGATGCCAACAACACATTCTAAAAAAGTTGGGACGGGGCAACAAAAGGCTGGTAAAGTTGTGTAATGCTAATAAAAACACCTGGTGGTTAATTGGCAACAGGTCAGTAACATGATTGGATATAAAGGAGCATCTCAGAGGGGCTGAGTCTTTCAGAAGTAAAGATGAGGAGAGGTTCACCACTCTGTGAAAGACGAGCAAATAGTGCAACAATTCAAGAATAATGTTTCTCAATATAAAATAGCAAAGAACTTTTGCTTTTCATCATCTACAGTACATGATAACATTAAAAGATTCAGAGAATCTGGGGAAATCTCTGTATTTAAGGGACAATGCCAAAAACCTGTATTTGCTGGCCGTGATCTTTGGGCCCTCAGACAGCCCTGCATTAAAAACAGACATGATTCTGTAGTGGAAAAAACTGCATGGGCTCAAACATTTCTGAAAAACACTCTATGTAAAAACGGTTCATCACTGCATCCACAAATGCAAGTTAAAACTCTAAAACGCAAAGAAGTAAATGTGCATTAACAGGATCCAGAAACACCGTCGCCTTCTCTGGGCCTGAGCTCATTTAAAATGGACTGAGGGGAAGTGGAAAAGTATCCTGAGGACTGACAAATCAACATTTGAATTTTTTTATGGAAATCATGGACACTGTGTCCTCCAGGCTAAAAACCACTCAGCTTGTTATCAGTGCACAGTTCAAAAGCCAGTTTTTATGATGGTATAGGGGTGCATTAGTGCACATGGCATGGGTGATGTGTACATCTGTGAAGGTACCATTAATGCTGAATGATATATACATGTTTTGGCAACATATGCTGCCATCCAGACTACGTCTGTTTCAGGGAAGGCCTTAATTGTTTCAGGAAGACAATGTCAAACCACATTCTGCATGTATTGACAGCATTGCTCCGTATTAAAAGAGTCTGACTGGCTGCAGTCCAGATCTGTCACCACTGATAACATTTAGTGCATTATGAAATGAAAAATATGACAAATGAGACCCTGAACTGTTGAGCACCTGAAATCCTATATCAAACAAGAACAGGAAAACATTTCACTTTCAAAACTACAGCAGTGTCTCCTCAGTTCCCAAACACTTATACAGAGTGTTAAAAGAAGAGGTGATGCAGCACAGTGGTAAACAGGCCCCCGTCCCAACTTTTTTGGAACATGTTGTTGGAATCAAATTCAAAACAGGCATGTATTTTTCAAAAAACAATAAAATTTCTCAGTTTCAACATTTGATATGTTGTCTTTGTATTGTTTTCCTTTAAAATATGGTTTACATGATCTGCATATCATTACATTCTATTTTTATTTACATTCTACACAGCGTACCAACTTTTTTGGAAATGGGGTTGTACATTTCTGTACTTGCCCAGGAGCCACAGATGCACAATAGCTAAACTGGCACATTTACAGACATGTATGTTACTGTGCATTCTCCCTGTAAATTTAACTACAGTAAAATAAGGTAAATTATAAAAGGTTTGGCTCTTTCACTTTTTTAAACCATATGAATCTACATGATTGTCCTCATTGTTTTCTGCCTAAAGTCACATCAGTTTCATCTCCTCTCTGCCTGCTGGTCCTTCCCTCAGTCCCTCTCTGCTCGCTTTCTTTCTGATTAGTTTCTCTCAGTTGCACCTGTTCATTCTCCACATAATGAACCCACCCAGCAGTGCTCCAGTGATGAACACCAGGACGAATCCAGCAGAGGAAGGGATGCTGTTTAGGGATGAAGCAGAAAACCGCTCTATGGAGAATCGAGTCAGTGCTGAAATACTGTTAATCTGTGAGTAGAGAACAAAAAACAAGGTAGGAACGTTAAGACTAGGACTGCATTATATACACTGAATACTTTTTTTGGTGGAACCTAGTCTATAAGGGAAACAGTTACTGTTAACTTTTGTCACAGAGGGTCCATTCAGGTGTATTTGGACACTTTAAGAGACGGTTTGATCAAATTTTAGCTGAAGTTTTCCTTAATGAGCAAAAGAAAAACTGGCATTAATAATGTTCAATTCTTCATATATAATTTATAATACAACATTCTTGTTGTACTATATATGTTGACCTTTCTTTTAATAACTTTCCCTCCCGCTCCAAAACATCTATTTTTTGATTGTCACCTGCACCAGCAAGCGAAAAAAATTAATATTAACCAATAGCAAAATTAATTCAAGTGGTATTAATGATAAATTTATCCTTTTTCTTTTATATATTACAAGGTTAAAACTTAATAAGTTAAAACTCCAAAATGCAAAGTCATATATAAACAGGGCCCAGAAATGCTGCCTCCTTCTCTGGGCCTGAGCTCATTTAAAGTAGACTGAGGAGAAGTGAAAAAGTGTCCTGTGGTCCGACAAATCAACATTGTAAATTCTTTAAAAAAAAAATAAAAATGGACACTGTCCTCTGAGCTAAAGACCACTCAGTGTTTTAAAAGAAGAGGTGATGAAATACAGTGGTAAACATGCCCCCGTCCCAACTTTTTTGGAACGTGTTGTTGGTATCAAGTTCAAAATGGGCACATATTTATCAAAAACCAATAAAAATTCGACATCAAACATTTGATGTGTTGTCCTTGTACTGTTTTCCTTTAAAAATATGGTTTACATGATTTGCATGTCATTGCATTCTATTTTTATCTACATTCTGCACAGCGTTCCAACTTTCTTAGAAATGGGATTGTTTTTCCATCACTGAAATCACTCCATGACGGCTTCCTTGTAGCCTCTTTCTGCAGGCCACCAAGCAGCCATTCTACCGGCTGAATGGAAATCAACTCAGATGTTTTTATTAATATAATGAAATAAATTATTTTCCCTGTAACTCTGTCAGATTAACTGGGACACTGTTGTCTCTCTGTGAGTGTGAAATGTTGTGACCCTCTGTTAAGCTGCTAGTGAGCAATGAGGGGTGAAAGGGGGGGGCGGGAGAGCCCCGTGCTGTGAAAAAAAATTCACACTTCACAAAGACAGATAAAATAGTCAGCACAACTGCAGCTTTCATATTATCAAAAAATCATATACAACTACTACAATAAAATTTAATAGAAGTTAAATACAGAAAAGGCATTTTTATAAATCATGCTTTGCTTGCTCACCTAAAAAAAATCCAGTTTGCTTCTCATTTTGTAAATCACACATATTTCTATTGATATACAGCCTGTGAATGTATAAAATGCGAGGTTCAATTCGCTGACTTGCTTCAAAACAAGCGGAAATTGCACTTTATCGCTACTGTGAATGAAGTCCTATACTATATATACATATCATTTTCTAACTCCCTCATATGAGTATGTTTATAATTAGTGAGTTGTGTGCATTGGTCCTTCTTACCCATCCTCCCATGTTGCAAATCCACTGCAGTAGCTTTTTCCTGAAGTAATCCAGACTTAAGGTCACTATGTCTGTGACCACTTCTGGCAAATGAGCAAGTACCATCTAGAGAAGAAAGAAAGAAGAAATCACGATACAGACGCAAACCCCTAGAGAAACAGAACTACAGGACAGGTCAGCGTACTGAAGAAAGAAAATAAGCAGGACCTTTGCTGACAGTTTTCCAACGGAGTAGAAGAGCACGATAATTCTTCCCCAGTTAATCTGGCCATCACTGAAGAGACTCTTCACGAGCTTCCCGAAACTGCTTTTATTAGCCAAAGGTACTAATCCGTCGATCATGCTGAGAGGAGGACAGGAGGGGAGAAAATGGCAGTGGTAAGTTCTGATGTTTGGAAGACTGAATGTGTTGTAAAACCTATGTGTTGTAAAACGCAGCAGCTCTCAATGTCGGCGCTGAAACTTGATCCATGCGTTCAGTTCGTCAATTTTGTTCTCCAGCGATTGAACATTTGTGTATTTGTGTTAAAGTCTGTCTTGAGCGATGAGGGGATGTCCAGAAGAGTTTGTTGCGCATATTGAATGATCTCAAAAGCGGTATGTGCAAAAACACAAAGAAACAGCACAGTAAAACATAAAAAAACATAGAGTTTACCCGGAGCTCTCACCAGCGCTTTCTACGCACCGGAACCGGAATCTCTGTGTGTGTGTGTATATATATATATATATATATATATCGGACTATATGAGGGCTGACACTTCTGACTGTATTAGTAATTGAATAATCTAGTTATCAGAGTTTTTCAAAAATCAACAAAAATGGATTTCATTGAGTAATAACATAACATACATAGACTTACATGTGTTATTGGTCTGCAAATTCGCATTATCTTAACTGCCTACTAATCATTGTTTTTGGATTGTTGTGAAGCAGCAGTGAAGGTGTCTACTGAATTGTATTTGCTACTGTTTTAGCGTTTGACAGAGGAGATGTTCACAAAACCAAACACTTGAAACGAGCGCCAGTCTCTGTGATGTTCTCATTTACTGCCATAGAGCACTATTATCACATAAGCTCACTGCAGAGGTCACTAGTCGGGGTGGGAATCTCTGGGCACCTCACGATTTGATTTGATTACGATTCAGAGGCTGAATGAATTTACTTCTAATATCTTTTATTAATAAATCACTGGAAGCGATGTGTTAAGTGAACTGGAAGGCTCTCATTCTCTGCTCTTGTTTGGAGTACATGAGACGCTGCTGCCACTCATCTGTGATAAAATGCGCAGTTACGGTGAAATAAGATTCTGTGGCAATGAACATCCACGCATCACGGTACAGCTATCCTACCCATTTTCTTCAGTGATTCCATAACTTCAGTTTTGGTCTCGTTGTAGAGAGTGGGGGGGGGGTCTTTGTGTCAGTAAAATATCTTCGAGACGGGACCCTGTTGCGGCTCCACATCAGAATTAGATTTGTAGGCAAAAATAAAATAATTCTCCTTTGCAGTAAAATAAAGCTCTGCTGATCGTTCAACACAGTTTAATGATAAACAATCTTAAACGCTAATTTGGAGACGAATGGACTTATTTGGACTTATTTGCGTTTATAATCTCGCCAGCTGGTTTCCTGAAACCTTTAATCTGCAACGAGAAACTGACAAACACTTAAAAAAAGGAAACTGAAGTCAGCTTCTCGTTCTCCAGCTTCTTGTTTGAATCTTCCTGTTCCACTTTAAATTGCGCAGCAGTTACATTCTGGCACCATAGGCACCATTTAAGGTAGAACGGGAAAATTCAGACAAGAAGCTGGTGAATGAGAAGCGACTTCAGCCTTGTAAAAAGTAAGCACAGTAAGTCTGCGTTTTTGTTTGTATTATATTTTTAGCCTACGCTGGGGCATTAGCACGTACTGAGACACATGTATAGCCAAGATGGTAAAATGGACTCAAAATGTTGTGGCCCCCAAGGTGGTTTGATTTTTGTTGAAAAGACAAAATGACTCTTATTAACGTTTGGGTTGTGACCCCTGCACTAGCTTTTAATGTAGTGTCCTGCCACAGACTGTCCGGGCGCTGCACGTCCACACTTCCAAGTTCCGCCTTTTGCTTTCTGTCAACATTACGCTATCAATTAAAATGTATAAAATCGATTTTTGACATTTGTGTATCGGTTCAGCATCTAAGAACTGATTTTTTGTCCCCCACCCCTAGCCACTAAAAGAATGAATATCTTGTTTAATTGTACCTGTTATTAAGATTAGCATCTATTGGTAAAGTGTATGTAGTCCTACTTTGGCCGCAGAATCCACTGCAGAGCCATTCTGCAGTTCCTCCAAAGAAACATCTTTTAATCAGACTTTTCATTTTTATAGTGTACACTGAAAACAGGAAAAACATCTCACTCCATTTTATCATGATGACCTCAATGATGAAGAATCAGACTACATACTATTTGATTTAAGCCACTGAATGCAGGGATGTGTAATGCAAAAATATCAGTATCTCAGCTACCACATGACGTAGATCATGACTTAAGTCAAACTGCTGAAAGACTGTGCATCGTTTCTGCAGTATTGTCAGTCAGCTTTCCAATTAGTTCTAAAGTCCTGCGTAATCATCAAGCAAGACCAGAGACGCAGGAAGGTGTGCTGAAATGTTAAACAGCGTATATGTGATGTGACCGATGACGTCATGAAAAAATGCCTCCCCCTCGGCCCCATTAGATTTTTTTTGGTTTGTTTTGGCTAATGTACGTCAAACAGAACACACAAACCTGGTAACATACATCATCACTCTGCTCTTTTGATCTGGACAAACTTTATGCAAATAAACTGACCAATGACCAATCAAGATCGTTGATACATGGAACGGTAATCGATTGTCACGCCCACAGTCAGACGGTGAGATCTGACTCGGGGAAGCCCACCAAGCAGGAAAATATAACGGTTTAATAAAAACATCATGTTAAATGTTTTTTTTTTAGTTAAAAAACAATATTAGGGCTCACAACTACCCTACAACTCTTCGCAGACTTTTTCTCTTCGCACCTCAACCTGCATGTTTTAGAGACATGCCCCCAAAACGGCCAGCTGCTGTTGGCTCACCAGAATGAAAATAAGGTGTTAACTTATACAGTGCACAGCTGCTGCAGATTTTGGAAATATACAAATAAAAATATAAAATGCACACTCTGCTCTGTCACAAGCACAAATGGGTCTTTATCATGCTCAAATTATTATAAAGTTCCTGCATGGCTGAGCAAGATCAACTCTTAAACAGATTCAAATGTGTTTGAGTTTTAATAATGACTGTGTATCTGTTTTTTAGTGTAGTTAGTTTAGTGTAGGGCAAATTAGGCCTCTTACAATTCTGTTCATCAAAAAAGGTATAAAATACCACATCCTGTCGCTTACTCGTTAATCTTTTTATCCTGATCCAGCTGGTCACCGATCACTCTAATGGTTTTTCCCAGCTGTTCCAACAGACGCTGATCCTGAGGGTTGGTTATCTGTTGAGATTTTGGAAGGCCAAGACACGAGGTGTCTACTTCTGTAGTTACGTTCTTCACCTGATCCGCCACCACTCTGAAAGACACATATATTTGTGATAACAGCACAATAACTGTCTCATTGCACTCAGCACTGCTTCGTAAGTAATGACTCACTTTACACTGCAGCTAACCGTTACTAAGTTTGTACTTTGGTTGGCAGCTGTGAACAATTAAACAGAAAATAATTCAGCAAACAAGATGAACTGTGAAATGCTTTACAGAAATGACTAGAACAAAACCACATTTAGGTTCATCTGGCAAACATTAAAACATGTACCTGATTATTGTGTATTTGTTTGTATATTTTTGAAAATATTTATATAGCCAATTTTAAAAACACATTTGATATATTTGGGACTTACTTGCTTCATTGTTTTGCTTTATTTTGAAGGACGTTTGTATAAAAGCAATAAAATATCACAAATAACATCATTGCATTGATGATCTAGAGTATGTCTACTGCTTAAACGAAATAAGGAGACTGACCACCCAGTTTTACATGCCCTTGTACACCTGGCCTCCTCATTTCAAGGAAATCCCTAGTACTGTCTTAAGGGCTATTACTGTGTTAGCTCTAATGAAGAGTGCTAGATAAGCCCTTGGAGGGGCAAAGGATCAACTGCACATAAATGTTGACTTCAGCAGCAGAACTTGCCCAGAAATCACTGCAGTCTGAAGCGTTTCCCCTTTCAAACCCCAAAATAATGGTGGACAAAGCTGTCTGTAAGCCATAGCAGTAAACCACTTAAAATGACGTTTTTAAAATAACATTTTAACATTTTAAAATCAAAACATTTGCTGGGCTTCAGGTTGCAAACTACTCCATCTTTTGGATCTGTTGATACAACTTCACTTTACTATGCTCGATTGCTAGTAAGTATGCTAAAGGCTACAAGGAGAAAGGCACTGCACCGAGGCTCTATACCGCATTTTGCATTACAAACTTTGCATGGCTAAACAATTAGCTACCTGAGGCTTTCCTGCCAAGAGCACTCTTTAAAAAAAGGTGCCACAAGAGGTTCTTTGAATGATGCCATTGAAGAACCACTTCTGGTTTCTTTCTTTTAGTTCACTATTAATTTCTTACAAATTATGTTTAAAAACAATTATGAGTGTGAAGAACCTTTAAAAGGCCTAAAGAATGTTCACAAAATGTAAAGGGGGACACCAATGTAAGGGTTCTTCCTAGAACCTTTACATTGTGGAAGTTCTTAAAGCTCATCTGTACATTCAGTATTTCAATCCTTTTCTTCTCAGTAGTCTTACATTCAAAAACATGCACTGCTGACAGGAGGACAGTTTAACTGCAGTGAGAAAATGATTTTATTATAATACGCTGATACGCATTTCCCTTCACTAAATACCTAATATTATCTCTAAAATGCTCTTTCTAAAGGTCATAATACTGGAAAATGTATTCTCAGAACTAAACACTCTCATTAAACACTATCAGGATTCACAATCTGACAATAAATATCCCTAAAAATGTCAAAGAAATTGGTATTATAAAGTATATTACACAAGAAATACCATTACGACGTGATATAATATCATGAAAAGTTTTTTAAAATTACATAGCAGTACAAGAGCTAGGAAAAACGTTGGTCAGCCCACACTACTTCCTAGGTACTTGTCCTGGATAGGTGTGGCTGATCATGTGACTACAAAGAAATGACACTCACAAACATCCAGCTGTGATATCCTCTTCAAGGAAATAGCATATTACCTGTTACAAAGAAAGTCCCCCTGTATCCCATCAAGTCCTTACCTGTTTAATGCTAATTGACCCAATAATGACAATATTTGGATATTTACATTTTCTTTCAGGCTGTACATTCTCTGACCTTGCCTGAGCAAACACTGAAAAGTGAGTTTTTATCACATCACTTTTATGAAATCTATCCTGGTTTAGATGGGACTCCTGCTTTATAACAAAACAGGAGAAAATCTAAATGTTACGATGAATAAAAATGGAAACTGCATGTAATTAAAACAATGTCAATGGGTCCTGTTAGATATTCTTTCCAGGAAACTCTTTACATCTTTAAATCTGACCTCTTTCGACCAATTAGAACAGCTTCTGTGGCTGTTGAGCAAGAAAGGAGTAAAACCAGTGACGCTGAACCATAAGACATGTTGTCTGATGACTCAACACTGGGCAAAACCATTTGCCTCTATATCATTTAAATCATTTCTGCAGTACAGTATAATTTAACACTAAACAAACCGGTCACACAAACCGGTGAGCGTCATTTCTTTGTGGTCACATGATGAGCCACACCTATCCAGGCGTACCTAGGACAAACTGGGGCAGTCATGGGCTGGAGGTTAGGGAACTAGCCCTGTGACCTGAAAGTCGCCGGTCTGATCCCCTGAGCTGACAGTATGTCACTGAAGTGCCCTTGAGCAAGGCACCTAACCCCCAACTGCCCACTGCTTCGGGCAAGTGTGCTCACTGCCCCCTAGTCTATGTGGATACACTAGTGTGTATGTGATGATTCACTGCATAGATGGGTTAAAAAGCGGAGGTGAAATTTCCCTGTTGTGGGACTAATAAGGGTCTCTTAATCAATATCCGGTGATATAAACTCAGAGTAGTGCATCTTTAACTCCAACCATCTCTTAGTGATTTGAATTAAGCAACTATATGTGTTATTATTATTGATATGTGGAACCCAATCAGTCTATATGAATTAGTAACACTAACAAACTCGACCAGAATCGACTTGAAATGATCAGCAGCTTCTTAACAAGCTTAGTCTGTCTGTCCGCGACTATGTTTGGCCATCGAAACTAAGTTTACTTTCACTTTCGATTAGTCGAAACTAGTTTTTTTTTACTCAGGTAAACCTACAGAGGCCGGCTTTCATTCCTGTGGCCTAATCCTCCTGTAATACATACTTTAATAAAGAACTGCACTGTATTTTACATTTTCTAGTGTGGTTTAATCTCACCTGGACCAGAGCGACGAAATCAGCACTGGGTTTATATGAATAACACACACAGGAAGGAGGGAAAAAACAGACCAGAAAACGAGTACGAAACTAAAATTAGCCTCTTCCTCGCCAGCGGCTTGTTCGATTTTTTCCGTTCCGCCTTAAATGGTGCGGCAGTTACATTCTGGCGCCTGAAATAAGAAGAAATTAAGAGCTGAAAACTCACCCGATCAACAAAGCCTCGCCAATCAGGTCATCTGTAGAGGAATAACGGTGAACGTTAGACGGGAACATTTCAAAACTCTCCAGATCTCGCGATGAATGAAAATACAGTTAAATTTACCATTTGTTCCCTCACAAGCCATATCGAATAAGACTCTGTATGGCTTATTGGGACACGGCAGCCGCTTCACTTCTCCTGAACAACTCTCTCTCCCTCTATTCGGGCGGAGGAACGACTGGAGTTTCACCAACTTCAGGTTTCACCGTTTGAATTCAGGAAACAAGCGCGTGCGCAGTTTACATAGCACAGTTCTCGCGATACCCTCGCAGCTTTACTTTTGCTTTACTGGAAAAGGGGTGAAATATGGGAATCTGTGGTATATAATATATAATCTATGATATATAAAATGCCAGTTTGTCCTTTGTGTTTGATGCTTTAGGGTAAAAATGTTATTTTAATCTGTATCAAAATACTTTGTATTTTAAAAACAAATAAAAGCAAATATTTTTCCCCCAAATTGGTCTCACAATTATGCTAGTCGTTGCTATTCACTATTTTATGTGCGCTGTTTTACTGTTTTCTTTTTATCCCGTGAAGCATTTGCATTTTATGTAGGAGGTACATATATATTACATAAGCCATTATTAGCAATCGCAAATGATGATTCTTGTATACAGCTTTTTGAAACGACATACAGTTTTTGTTAAATTATCGAAAGATTATTTTTTTTTCCCCACAGAAAATGAGTAGGAGAATTGTATGTGCAAAGGTTTGTGCACTCCACTTGCAGAATGATAATGCAAGTACACTTGCAATATCACAAGCAATAGCAACATCCTAGCAACCACCTGGGATACCATATCAAAAATCTAGCAACAATCTAACAACTGTCAGGTATACCATAGCAACCACCTAGCAACACCCTAGCAACAAACTGAAACACCATAGCAACCCCCTAGCGACACCTTGGCAACCAGCTAGCAACCACCTGGTAACACCTTAGCACCCTCCTGAGATACCATAGCAACCTCCTGGGATAGCATAGCAATCATACAGCAACACCCTAATAACTGTCAGGGATACCATAGCAGGCACCTAGCAACACCCTAGCAACCAAGTAGCCACCACCTAGTAACACCTTAGCAATCACCTGAGACACCAAAGCAACCCTCTAGCAACATCATAGCAATCTCCTGGGATACTATAGCAACCAGCTGAGATACCATACAAACCACCTGAGATATCATAGCAATCATACAGCAACATCCCTTTATAACCGTCAGGGATACCATAGTAGCTGCTTAGCAACACCCTAGCAACCAATTAGCAACCACCTAGTAACACCTTAGCAACCACCTGAGATACCATATCAACTACCTGAGATACCATAGCAATCATTTAGCAACATCCCTTTATAACCGTCAGGGATACCATAGTAGCTGCCTAGCAACACCCTAGCAACCAATTAGCAACTACCTAGTAACACCTTAGCAACCACCTGAGATACCATACCAACCACCTGAGATACCATTGCAATCATCTAGCAACACCCTAATAACCGTCAGGGATACCATAGTAGCCGCCTAGCAACACCCTAGCAACCAATTAGCCACCACCTAGTAACACCTTAGCAATCACCTGAGATACCAAAGCAACTCTCTAGCAACATCATAGCAACCTCCTGGGATACTATAGCAACCATCTAGTAATATCTTAGCAAACCTAACCTGTGCAGTCGCTCTGAAGTTTCTTCAGGAAATTTTCCGTGTAATATTACTAGCAGTGTTTTGTGGTTTATTCTGAGGGTCAGCGTGCTCTGTTAGACGGGGTCTCTGGCTCTATTCGGGGGTCTTACTGTAGGTGGCAGTAATGTGTCTGTGGTGAAAGCTCAGGAAGGGGCAGAGGAAGCCCGGGAGGGAGGGCTTTGAGAGTGACAGTGTGGGGAGAGTTTACGCTGCTGGGCAGAAGTTATTAAGTTGGCGCGTTTTCTGGAGGCTGTTCTTAATGCTGGTGTTCCTCTGCAGTTCGCTGCCCCTCATTAACACCACCGCACTTTAAAACGGGGGCAGGTTCATTTGTCTGACTGCGCTGAAACATCTCTGGAGCGGCTAGCTCGGGTAGCTAATTCAGTCGCTGAGATTCAGAGGCGGGTTTTGTGTTGACATCTCGCTGTGTAGCTTCGTCTCGGTTCGTGTTATGGCAAAGAGCACCTCAAAGACTGTGTACGACATATTTCAGTCCATGGAGTGCGGAGCGTCCAGCCCCAGCACTGCGGCTACTGCCCGGGTGAGTTAGGTGGCCTGCAAAGTTCAGTTATAACACAGAAATAGTATTTATAACCTACCCAGTTTATTAACAGTATTTTTCGTAGCTATAAGCTGTCCTGGTGTAATATATCTTCAGTAGACTGTAATGACCTGCATGTGACTATTAGTAATGTAACTCATAAGGAGAACACGTGACGGCACAAGTGAGTGAAGTGTCTATGGGTTCTTTTCCCACCCGTTTTCAGACAGGCCTCCTGTGCTACGATTGGCTAATGGTTTCCCACCTCCTATACTGTGATAGGCTGATAGTTCATGTTGACAAGCGGACTGTCAGTTGGGACATCAGTAGCCAATCCTAGCGCAAGAGGAGAGTTGCCACCAACCAATTTAATCAAAGGAGTTGATGTCTGAAAACGGGTGGATAAAAAAATAACGTTGTTTGGATGGAGCAGTTCAGAACGGAGTTCACCGCAGTTTTTAAAGGCTGGTGTAAAGTTCAGAAAAGTGACAAATCTGTGTGAGTTTGGTGCATGATCTACAGAAACCCTCCCGGGGAAGAGAATTTCATTGGATAATATAAATAATAAACATAAAACTTAAGAAAAACTCATTGATCCTCTAATCTTTATAGGAATTCTCTGTTTATAATATTATAGTATTTGAAAATGTATATCATAAGTACAACACAGAGGTAGGCAGATATGAAATATGCACCCGAATGTTGTGGCAAAAATGAAGAATATGTGGCCAGAATTAGAGAAACATGTTTGTTGCGTATGCATGCATGCTTCTTAACCAGAAAAACAGTTGGGTATTGCTTTAATAAGAAAATATTTCTTAAAAACTTTACAGCGATAAGAACACATGCACTTACTGTTGTGCACATTTAGCAGTCTGAAGCAGTCTTTTCCTCAGAAGGGAGCTATTAGCACATAAATTGTTTTTTGTGCATCACTTAAAGAAAAAAAACGTCCATGAACCCACACCAGCAGGAGCGCACAAATGCTGTTAACAAAAGGTGTAATAGTTGACTGGCAAAAGATGTTGAGTTACTTACATTATTTAACGTGTAACTTTCATGTGTGATTTCATGAAATTGTTTAGTGCTTAAAAACCTGTAGGCTAAATATTGCATAGAAAGTTAATCTAAGCTCACAAATGTTGAGGCCAGGGGCACCGAGCAATAGGCAATCTTGGTCCCTGTAGTGATGTAATAGTTATATTGAATTTTGAATAATTATTAATGCCATTTTAGAGCAGTTCATTTATAGACAACTAGAAACTGACCAATGATTACAAATTGTGCATGGTGACAGATGGGCTATAGTCTATAACTGTACAGCTACATAGTGAACCTGTGCAACATTACCTGCCAGGAGTTGGAATCAACTTGACGGCGCTTAATAATAATAATAATAATAATAATAATAATAATAGGGATGCACAATCTGAATCAGCCAAGATTGGCTGCTGCTAGACCTGAGCCAAGATACTGTAGAATAATTGTATATGACTCATTGTGCTAAATTGATAACTTTAGGAGTAGCACTTTATTTGACTTGTTTTCTTGTTATTTAAAAAGTCAGATTTTTCAATTAAGATTTTAAAACGCCTTTAAAGAGTGAATAATGTCAATTATAGTGTGGCTTTGGTTAATAGAAAGTGCTGGAAATGTGCTAGTGTGTTTCATGTGTTCATGAAGCCCAAACAGTATGAGGGATATTAAAAGTCGGGCGATTTGGCTGTAATATTTCAGGAACTTGTTTGAAAAGGAATACAGTAAGGAACATACAAACAAACAGTACAGTAATAATTTAGTCTTGTTTAGTAGGTCTGTGAGCTTAGTTGTTAGAGATAACTGTAATAACAATATTAGGGTCCTGTCCTGTGTTTGTCTCTGCTCTCAGGCTTGGCTCGAGCGGCACTCTAATTCTCTGGGTCTCTTCACTGATGGGAAGTTTGTGTGTCCGGTGGACAGACAGACACACACTGTAACTGATTCCACAGGTTAGTGATTATTTAAACTGTTGCGTGATTATATCACTCTGTTTTCCTTCTCATTCCCCCTCACGCTTCTCCTTTATCTGTTTGACTTTGTTCAGTGTTCCCTTGTGTTTCTTAAAAATAAGCAACCACACTGGCCCCAAGTGGCGAAGTTGCCCATAAAAATACTATAGTCATCGCTGTTGGATCAAAACCTTGTATATCTATCTTTGTCGGTTTTTAGATGCCAAGCACTTTATGGACCTGGCTAACTCACTCATTCACATACTCACTCACATTTAGCAGGCTGAAGATTCTCCACAAGATTCTCCACTTTAACACTAAAGTAACTTTTGGCGCTTCACCTCAGTGACACTTTGTGTCCTTGTTACATTTTTTTGACACAATTTGAAGATGCGCTGCACTGTAAATTGTGCAAACACTTTATGAGAGTGAAATTATACGGACTATTAGAAATGGTACAAAGTTACTTAGAATAAATTGTGGTTACATTATCTTACATTAAAGGGCCCATATCATGAAAAACTGAATTTTCCTCTGTTGAGGAAAGAGTGTGAAGTAGCATAAGTAGTAACATTTTTAAAGTTTCAGAATGTACCATTCACTAAAAACCAGCCTGCTTTAAATTCATTGTTTCTGTGATGTCATGACTTACACGTGTCCACCTGTTCAGCCAGTTGGAAGAAAGGTCATTTACATATATATCAGTCTTAAAGGCACAGTAACAAAAGCAGCCTGTTTAATTATAAAAGATTTTGGAGATACGATGTTTTGGTCTGACAGCAACAATATAGATGCTAAATAACCCATACCAAATGACTGTTATTTTCTGTCATAATGATTATTTTCATTACCATAAGTGCTGTGAGGATGAGAGTCCCTTCATGTGTCTAGACTCTCGAACTGACTACCTGTGCTTCTTGCCCTGTCTCCTGATTGTGTTCTCTTCCTCATCAGGTGGGACTGTCT